AAGGCTGAGATGTGGCTCAGTGGCTCAGGGCCCCAGGGTTCCATTTCTAGTACACCAAAAAAAAAAAAAAAAGTATAAAGAAAAACTCAAAACCCATCACCCCCACTCCCCAGCCAGAGGCCACCACTGGTAGCATTTTCTATGTCCTTCCTGTGGACACAGTGAGCTGGCAAGAAGTGGTTGTGACCACATACGTGGCGCACGCCTTCCTCTCTTCGTAATGAGTTTTGCAATCTCTCTCTCCTTTTTTCTTTTCTTGTGGTGCTGGGGTTGGAACCCAGGGCCTCACACTCTGCCACTGAACTACACCCCAAGCCCCATTAAACTTATTTTTTAATTGACCATTAAAAGTATACAAATTAGCTGGCTCTGTGGCACACGCCTGTAGACCCAGAGACTTGGCAGGATAAAGCATAAGGATCACAAGTTCAAGGCCAGGCTGGGCAACTTAGCAAGACCCTGTCTCAAATATTTAAAAAGTCTGGGCACGTCTCAGTGGTAAAGAGCCTCCGGGTTCAAACTCCACTACCAAAAAGAGTCATGCAAAAATGAGGCACCATGGGATGTTTCCGTACGTGGATACATGGTGCGTTTCTGGCAGTTTTTAAGAGGGCTCTGTGCACACAGCTGTGAACATGGGAACCAGGAGGAGGGCAACAAGCAGAGGACAACAGGCAGACAGACAGACGGACAGAGTCAGCACTGTGGCCTCCCCTCTCGGGGCAGGGCTCAGCTTCTTCCCCTCAGGGCAGTCTGTCTCCCAGGTCTCTCCCAGTTTTCTAGAAAGCCTGGTCCAACCCCAAAGACCAGAAGCGGGAGGGCCCTGGCTTCCGGGTAGATGGGGGCAGGTCTAGCCAGAAGCCAGGGCTGACCAGGGCTCTCTCGCGGCTCCAGGGCCCAGCCTGGCACCCAGCTCTCTAAGCAGATGGTTCAGGGCCCAGGTTCAAAAACTAAAGCAAAGTAGCCTCCAGGGCCCGATGGGCACCTGGTCCCCTGGGGTGGGGACTCCCTCCTTTCACAGGTCTTGGAGAGAGGTAACTTCCCCACCCCTGTGTGGCACGGCAAAGGGTGCAGACAGGCTGCCCAGCGGAAGGCCATGCGAAGCCAGAGGCAGGAAGGGTGGGGTCTGGGCCTTCTGCCCAGTTCCTCCCAGGTGCCCAGGGCCAGAGTGCGGCCAGGAGGGCCGGGACCCCAGCAGCTGAAGAGCACAAGGTGCAGCCCGGCCCTGCCCCCTGCCACAGCTAGCTCCGCCTGGCGGGCAAGTGTCTGCCTTCCTGCTCTCCCCCGTCCCACCCACGCTCCTGGGACGCCCTAGGGAGAGGGGCCCAGCTCACCTCCTCCCTCCTCTCCCCCCTCCCTGCTGGTTCCTGGTCTCCCCCACCCTCCAGGCCACCATCCCACCTGCTGACCTTGCTCAGGCCCTTTTCTCACAAAAGACTCCCACACACCTGCTCCCTTGGGTCATGGCCCTCAGCTTCCATGTTTGCTTCACCTACTCCGCACTGGGGGGGAAGCCGACCTGGGTCCCTCATGCCCGCAGTGCCTGCATGGCATGGTCACCAAGAATGTGCGGACATTTGCTGACCACTCGTCCGTGCCGGGTTAGCTCCAAGCACGCACCTGCATTGGTACCTTCATTCCCTCCACAAACACAGAACACAGGCGCTACTGTTGGTCCCACTCAGTTATGAAGAAAATAATGCACAGAGGGCTGAACCACTTGCTTAAGGCTGCAGAGCCAGAAAGTACGAAGCCAAGAGACAGAAGGCGGCCAAATTAATAATTCTGAACAAGTGAATTCCTATTGCAGTCACTTAAAACAACAACAACAACAAAAAAAAAAAACAGTGAGGCTCAGCTGGGTCAGTGGCGCACACCTGTAATCCCAGTGACTTGAGTCGGGGACAGGAGGATGGCAAGTTCAAGGCCAACAGGGGCAACTTGGCAAGACCCCCGTCTTTTTTTTAATATTAATTTTTTATTTGTACACAAATACACTTATTCATTTTTATGTGGTGCTGAGGATCGAACCCAGGACCTGGAACATGCTAGGCCAGCACTCTACCGCTGAGCCACCACCCCAGCCCCAAGACCCTGTCTTAAA